CCCCTTCCACCTGTTCGCAGAAAAGCACCTTTTCCTGCTATGGGTGACACCAATGTTGGGCCTATCCCAAACTCCTAGGGTACAAAAGCTGGACTATGATCAGGGCGGGACACCAGTGCAAGATGAGGCACCAATTTACCAGGACAGCATGTCTTTCGCCTCCAGACGGGGGGGGGTAGAATCTGCAGTTGTGTCAGCCGAAAATCTGAAAATGACGTTTCACGCTAAGGCCGTTTCAAGACTGCGTTTTAGAGGTTCGTGGTTATCCACACGTAAAAAACGTATTTCTCCCCCCCCGAATTGATCGATAACCGAATCATTCGAGTGAGTCGTAGTAAGAATCCCAAGAGGAAGGCGAAATATAGGAATGAATGAGGCCGGCATCTCGGTCAACCAAGTGGGGAAACAGGAGTTTTCTGGAACAATCTTCGCTCCTCCGAGCGCCAAACACCCCCGCCCCCCGTCCTGTGGAGCCATCGCGCTCCGAAAACTTTTATCTATAAGCGGACTTCAACAGTGCCTCCTCAACTACACGAATCAGGGGGTAACTCGGTCCAACCTGAGGCGGCGTACGACCCCCCCGGTCTGTGGGGTTTTATAAAAGTGCGTCACGACGAGACGCGAGCTGACTTAGCCGGCAAGGCCGTCGCGTCTCCCCCCCGGCGAAAAGTTTACCCTCCCCTCGGTACTGGGACGCCGGCACGACTGAAAGGAAAAGGGCTCCTGGCAGGGAGTGACATGTCCAGCTGTATCATTATCGCTCCCTGTAGGAGAGAGAGAGAGAGGGAGAGGGAGGACCAGGGCAGTGTGTGGGGAGAGAGAGAGCAACAACGGAGCCACTTCAGCCGAGCTACCGCTGCCTGGCCCCCGGCCAGGGGGTACGGTTCTCCGCGAAGGATTGGCTCGTCTTTCCCTCTCCCTCCTCCCTCCCTCTCCCTCTCTCTCTCTCTCACTCTCACTCTTCGTTTTTCTCCGGCTCCCAGAGATACGCACATAACACACCAGGCAGACAACACCCCCGGGCTAAGAGGCCAACTCAAAAAACAGCCGAGACGGGATTCCGCAACAGCCGGGGAGGAAAACTTCCCCGCTTGTCTGCCTGAGGGCTGTCATTTCTCCCGGTTCGTGGTGTTTATTTTCCCTGAGAGGCGCGGAGGAGGAGGAGGGGAGACGGCACAAGTTTTTTTTTTCTTCACTTACTTGCTGAAGTTCGGACCGGACCCGACCCGACCCGACCCGTCGCACGGCGCTATGCGGACGGACCGCCGGGCGCGGACGGTCCCGTTGCCCCTCCGTCTGGCGTGAAGGAGCCGCCGCCGAGCTTGAGGGGGGTTGGTTTTGGCAGTAGCCGGTGTTTGGACGGGCGGAGAGTTTCCGCGGGAGGCAGCCTCCCCGAACCGAGCTTGGGTGGTGCGGGGAGCCCGAGGCTGGCTTGAGAAGGGACCGTAAGAGAGAGGAGAGGCCGTCGTACGGCTCTCTTTCCGGCGAGGCTCCCTCCTCCTCCTCCCCCCCCGATCTCACCCCGCATCGGCGGGCCGAGGATGCCAGCATGAGCCCCCGTCTCCTCCTCCTCCTCCTCCTGTGGCTGGTCGTGCAGCGCCTGGGGCGGGCGGCCGAGCGCCCCTCGGCCCGGGAGCGCTTCAAGGTGGTCATCGCGCCGCTCATCTGCAAGCGGACCTGCCTGAAGGGCCAGTGCCAGGACACCTGCGAGCAGGGCAGCAACACCACGCTCATCGGCGAGAACGGCCAGTCCGCCGACACGCTCACCGGCAACGGCTTCAGAGTGGGTGAGTGAGCCGGCGGCGCGCTGTCACGGTGGCCGCTGATAAGAGCGCCAACGAGAGAGTGCAAAAGTTGTACAGTACAGTATCACCGCTAGCAGACCGA